AGTGTGCTTCCAGAATGGAGGTAACAGAAATCCTCCAGGCATCTCAGTTCCCAAACTGACTGACTGTGAAAGCAGCAGAAGCTCAGAATTCCCCTGTGCTAAGAAGTCAAGGAAATGCCATGCGTCACTGGAGCGGACTGGTGACCTTGCCTGTGCTCACAGCAGTGTTGGCCAATTTCACTGTAACAGGTTGTTAATATTCTCTATGCAGGCAATATACAGCCCAGCAAATCTGCTTTTATGGGCACTTCAAGAACTTGATTAATTTGTGCAATAATGAGCAGGCCAGTGTCCATAATTACGTGGCAGAACTCTGTCCTTTTGAAAACCCATCACTGCCTCAGAACACCACCAAGGGCCCCGTGGGCTCCAAAGAGAGGCTCAGCTGCAAGAAGCAAAAGGTTTAAGACCCAATGAATGTTACATGGGCTATTGCTACCATTTCTCCATCAAATGCAGAGCCCCAGCAGTGACTGCGTGCATGCAGCTGCTTCCATCAGCACTGATGTTGCAGGAAGTCCCTGAGACTAGAGCCCAACTGATGCTGTGTTCATCTTCTATCTCCCCATCTCCATGTGCTCTGCAGTTTCAGGGAAAAAAATCCCCCTATTGGTTGTCATTAAGAAGACTTCTTCCCCAAAACTGCACTGTCATGGACAGATGGACTCCTGCAGGTCTGCTGCTTCATTCAGTCAAGAGCTTGCAGGTATTTGGGATATGGAGCTCCCACATGAATAGCTCATGGCCAAGCAGCAAGTGCATTTGCCCCTAGATACAATGGAATAAAATCTGGAGCCTGCACTAGCTCTTTGCTTGTATGTCTTCAGAGCTACAGCTCCCCTCCCAGCAGGAGGCTTGGCTTTGAGGGATCTGCCAGCAAGCTCAGAGCCATGAGAAATAACAACTTGGGAGCTCAGACAAGCTGGTTTGCAGGCAAACAAAAGCTGAAGCTGTGAAAGTGTGAAGCAGTCAATGCAGTGTCTGGCAGCACAGCCTCACCTCCGCCTTAATCCTCTTTCCCTTCTTAAACTCTAAATTAATCAATTACACTTCCAGCCCGACAAAATCAGTCAGAAATGTAACCTTCATCATACACAAGGCAAACATAATTAGGATTGTCATTGGAAGCCAGCTTGACCAGCATACAAATGAGAGCAGCCCCGTGATGGGCAGGCTCCCTCGCAGGCAGGGATGGTGGGATTGCGGCCACAGCCCGGGAAAGGGCAGGGCTCCAGCAGGGACTGCCACAGAGGGGCCAGGGCACAGAGGGACCAGGGCACATCAGGCAGTGCACGCTCCAGGCAGTGCACGCTCCAGGCACTGCACACTCCAGCAGCCCCTTCGGCCGTGCCAGCGAGGAAGCCACAACATTCCCCAGCCACAGATGGGAGCCCAAACTCCCAGCCCAGCTGCACAGGCTGCAGACCCTGCAGGGATGGACAACATGGAAATGAGTCCTTGGAAATCCCTGGCCATGACTGCCGGTGTGGATTCATAAATGGGGTGAGCAATGGTTATCCCCTCCCCGGCCTACTAATGAGGAACTGAGCCACGGGGGCCAAGTGATAGCAAGAGCAAGGCAGGAGTGTCCAGTGAAAGCATCGGCTCAAGGCTTGAGCACAATCAAAAAAATCCAAGTGAGTGCTGGCAGCCAGAGCAAAGCACAAACCCAGCATGCTCCCAGGTAGCTCCAGGGTGCAGCTGCAGCCCCATGGCTGCTGTCCTACTGCAGCAGAGGCTACAGCAGGGCTAGAGGAGAGGCAGGGACTTAGTTAAGGATGAAATGGTTTCTGTACAAGTCCAACACTTCAATTTGGGAAGCAGAAACCTGAGAGGGGGCACAGCAGGGGTTTATCTGAGAGTGACAGAGAAAATGAAAGAGGAATGACTGCCTGCTGCCTCTTCCAATATTTAAGCTACAAAAGCATCAAATGAAAACAGTGAGTGACAGATTCAGAACAAAGTAAATATTTCTTCATACAGCTGAACAGTGCCATAAGTTGCTGTGGATACCCAAAATTTTCTCAGGCTCAAAAAAGGGTTTAGGAAAAACTTGAAAAGACTATTAAAGGCAGAGATCCACATGTCAGGAAATTCCTGAACTATGGATGGCTGATGGTAAGGAGAATACCCAGCAAGACACTGACCTACACACTGACCCTGGTTTTATCCTCCTTGCTGGACATCCTCTATTAACCACTGCTAATTGAGGATCCCAGGGGAAAGAGACCTGTGGTCTGATCCTGCGCAGTGGTTGTTCTGTCCTGGCACTGATCGGAGCTCTCTCCACTTGCCTGAAAGACAAGGAACTGGGAACATTCCCATTCCTGGGCACTTGGGTGACAAGGAGATGTGCTTATAGCACAGAATTTGAGTGCACAGCAAAAGAATGTCTGCTTTCCATTTTTCCCATTTCTCATGTTAGGAGCAATTTTTGATAAAATTAACTCAGTCATGCTGCACCCAGCTAGATGCAGTTGGCAGCACCATGTACCCCGCATTCAGTTTAGAAACAAGATAACATCCTTCTGAGAGGTGCTAAAATACCCATGGGGATGGGATTTCCAAGTCTCAAACCCACAGCTTGTGGTCCTTGTGAGAAACACCAGTTCCCACTCTGTTGTACCAAACAAGCTCTTCAGCTGATCTATCTCTATGCAAAGTTTATGGGTGCCCTTGACACTGCAGCAGAGATGAAAGAAAGGTGGGGATACTCCTGTAGATCGGTATCTCCCAGGTCTTGCATGCTCACCTACTGGCTCACTCTCTCCCAGGGCTGCATTCGGACCAGAGGATGCAGACTGACAGAAGAGTCCACTCTTTCCAAGCAAACTCCTGCCTCCTCCCCTTGCTGAGCATCTCAGCTGCAGCAGCACATCCAGTTGCTGTCACCCGCCGTTTGGCGACACACACAGATAGGGCAGGATTATCTCAGTCCACAGAGAGTTGCCGGCCAGGCATTCTCCTTCAGCGAATCCAAGTGGAGCACTGGTGTGTTTCTCATTAGCTCCTATTATCCATGCTATTGTAGTGCTCCCAGTGCTAAAGCACAGCCGGGAGACAGCTGAACTGCCCTGCAATTGTTTGTTTGTTAAGAGGATTTGCTCTGTGGCAGGATATTTCCAAGCCACGTGCAGAGGAGGGGTATCCTGGTAACAGTGCCATCCTCCGAGCCACTTGTGTGCCCTGGTTCTCCCACTGCCTCAGAACAATCCACCTGGTTTCACCCCCACTAGGAGTAAACTGCCGACTGTGTTTCCTTTTGACTGTCAGAGATAAGGTGTGAGACAACTGAGCCATACAAAGGCATTCTGCTGATGAACTGATCCTCTGGTTCCACATCCACTATCGCTGCTGCTCCTTCCAGCAGCACTCAGAGCAGGGCAGGCAGGAGCACGGATCTGTGGCAGCCTGTCCAGCTGTCCCCTGGCCAGGGGAAGGCCATCGTGCACCCCTGCTTTGACACCTTGACCCATTGCTCCAGCACTTTTTGTCCTTCCCATTGCTCCCAGTGACAATTCTGCAGCTGTAACACTGCACCCCGTATGAGTGATTTTCTCTTGACCCAGCCTCTCTCAAAGCTCCCTGACCAGATCCAGAAGTCCTTACTCAGCATCTACTCCCTCCAAATGGGATTAGCTTGAGTCACTCTCAGCCATATCTCAAGATCTGTTTATGCTAATTTCCCTCATGAAGGTGCTCAGAGCAGGGAGGGAACAAATGGGCAGATGGACAGTCAGGGCTTTTGTCTGGTCAAGCTGAGTAAAATTCTGAGAAGGGCCTTCAGAATCTGACCTACCATGGCTAAAGAGTTGCACAGACACTCTGACAAAATTAATGCATTAGCCAGGCTGCTTTAGAGTCCAGCCCCTTTGTGTCTCTGTCTCTTCAAGCCAGACAGTGGTCACCAGTAGAGTATCTGAAAGAGGCTGTCATGATGCAAAGCGTCCACATCTCCATCCCCATTCACAGCTCAGAGGAATGTTGAGAAGGAAAATGATCCTTGCAGGCTCTGTACCACAAAAAGCCATGGTCATCCCCTTCCCCCAGAGTGAGAGCCCAATAGCCACAACATTCTTCCACAGATGCATTGGATGATGTTTGTCCAAGGATGCACAGTGGGAAGCCCAGGTTGTTCCTATAGCTGTGTGCCCTCACATTACAGCTAGCCCTGCTCTGCATACAGGACTCACAGTCTGCCATGGGCACCTGAAAGAAGTCAGCTTATGGCTCCAATTCCAAAAAGCAGGGCAGGCTGAGCCACTGCTTATGCTGGGAACATGATTGAGTTGCCTGCAAGATCTCGGTGGCTGGAGATGGGATCCAGACTTTGTTTTTACCCATCCTGTTGGATGGCAGTGATTTTGTCTGAGGAAAAGCATGTGCTAAACTTGCTGTGCACTGCTGGAGGAGGGAAGAATGCATACAAGGGAAACAGTTCTACCCACAGCAGGTGAGGAACAGTGCCAGCATCGTACTATCAGTTGCAGATGACGGGTGGTGGGCAAAATTCCTGCCACCTTCTAGATTAGTAAAACACCTCCTCTGGGTCCAACAGCAGACTGATAGAAAACACAGCCCACAGAAGCAGTCCCTGGCAGATGGTGTGTTTTGAACTACTATTAATCTAGACAACCTTTTGCAATGTTGAAAGAGTTTGTCCAGGAATAAAATAGCTCCCCAAAATGCCTGGATGGAAGGAGCAGTCTCGGCAGCATCCGCGTCTCTCTTTGTCTTCCCCACCGAGCATCTCCCGGCAGAACAAGCCCGGGAGGAGGAGGCGCCTGGGGCGCAGAGGCAGCGGGGCTGCCCGGCCGCCGGGGAGGCGGGTGCTGAGCGCGGAGCCCGGCAGCAGAGGAGCCCCGGGAGCTCGGGGAGCCGGGGCGGGGCCGGCCGGGCGGGGCGGCCCGGACCCCCCGCCTTCCCCGGCGCCTCCCCCGGCCCGCAGCCCCGAGCCCGCCCGGTCCGGAGCGCGGCGGCGGCGCGGCCGGAGCGCGGCCATGGGCTCCCGGCTGAGCCGGCAGAGCAGCCTGGAGGAGGAGAGCGGCGAGGAGCCCTGCTCCGGCAGGCTGGAGAGCGGCCGGGGCGACTTCCACCTCTCCTCGCTGCTCCTGCACCCGCAGAAGCTGCCCGGGGTGCTGCGGAAAGCCTCGCCCGCGCCCTACGTGCGGCGGGTGGGGTGGCTGCGGGAGATCCAGGCCACCATCCGGGAGCACAAGCGGGAGCACGCCGTGCACATCCTCCGGCTGCTCAGGAAGGTACCTGCCGCGGGATGCGGGGCGGGGCAGGGCAGGGACAAAGGGCCGTGCGGGGCCGGGGCTGCAGCCCCCCCCGGTGCAGGATGCAGGAGCCCCCTCCCCGGCGCTGGGGTGTGCAGCCCTCCTTGGCGGGGCTCTTTGTGCTGCCTTTCTCCGCTCCGAGCCCCCGTCCTTCCGCCGCTCGGTGCCCACCGTGCCAGGCGACACCAGCCACCTCCCCGACCCCCAGCCTGGGCTCTGCCGGGGCAGAGAGGGGGGCTGGCAGGGAGCTGCCAGGGGGACTGTGCTGCACGCAGGAGAAGGGGGGTCCGGGCTTGGGCTGTGCTCACCCACGCCCCTCCATGCCAGCCCGCGGGTGTGCTCAGGATTGATGCCCCTCCAGAAAAAAGCCACTGCCGCCCCACTGCCACCACATCCCGTTATGGCCACTCAGCCAGAGTGGCTGAGATATGTCTGGGAAACCCCAAAATGGCTTTGGAGGGCACCTCTGGGACAATCGAGGCTGAGAGCAGAGGTAAAGGGGTCAGTGTATCAGTGGGAGCATGTTTCAGTCTGCCGCCATTCAGGAACAGAAAAGCCAGTGTGCAGACAGTGTGGTGCCAAACTGATGCTGAGGACAGAGCCCTGCTGCTGGAACAGAGCCATCTCCTCCATCACTCCCTGCTACCATCACTTTCCAGCCAAACTCAGCTGCCCCAAACTGCAGTCAACTCTGTGACTGGTAGCACAGGGGACAAAGCCCACCTCTGATGTGGACATCAAGCACCATCAGTTCGTAGCTTGTCATGTTGCTTCATTAGATAACGATCATCTAACTTCATCTTGGGAATGTACCTTATTTCTTGCCTTAGTAGCAAGTGGCCTTTGGGTGTGAGTGCAGTGTGGCTCACTGGATGCTTGTTCACCCACACCACCAGCTGCAGGGAGCTTCATGAACAGCCCTGTCTGCTCTGCATGTCCAGGGTTTTACAACACATCTGACAGTGGTGCTCACTGCCCTGGGCTACCAGGAAGTTACACACTCACAGGTAAGAATTCACAGGACCAAAAATTACATCTCTGCTTTTCCTGTCCACTACTTTAGCATTCACTTGAAGATTGTTACTAGCACTACACTCTTGTTGCCACATGTGCAGAGAGATAAACTCACAGCAAACCTCTGTGTGTGCACCAGTATGGCAGGCAAGGGTTGAATAAGATTTCGAAGGCAGTTTTGGAGAGGCACTATTACAAGAAGCTTGTGAAGAAAGAGAGGCGACCATTCACTTCATGGATGTGTCAACGTAACAGGAACAGAATTTACTAGGGTATGCCAGAGGCCGGAACTACAGAATGTCATTTTCTGTAGTGCTCAGCACCTCTCCTGGAAACTGAAGCACTGAAACCTTCCACAGACCCCGGAGGTCTCCAGAAGGTCCATCTGTGAACAGGCAGGGGTTGAGTGCTAAGTTACAGGGCCATATGGAATGGAGGGTCATTTCTAAGCTCCTTTCAGGATCAGTTAAACACTTGGCTTCCCCACATCTGCGCTTGAGAATTACCATGTCATGAACATTCACATTTTGCCTGCTGCCTTTCCAGTTCCCCATGTTATTCCTGGTCCCCATCTCTGCCTGGCCATGTTGAAACAGTGACTGTCTGCCCATCTGCTCACAACAGAACAGTGGGACATGCATCCTGTAATCACAACATCTTCTACCAAGCAAGATGGGAACCCATCCAGCAACACCCCAAAGCCTCTGGTTCATTGAGCACTCAGAGGTTTCAGAGGCAGAGGCTTTACACCACTAATGTGTACCACACCCCAGCTGTCACCCAGTCTGGGGTCATGTAATCACCACCAGTCCTCCTCACGTGTCCAATGTCAGCTTCAGATAAGCCTTTTTTTCTAACTCACAGGTTTTCCTCACTCCACAGCTATGTTCACCCCTTAGCTTGGTCCCCAATGTGTCCCTCCTTACCTTGGCAGTGTCACACTCTCGGGAGTCACGGATTAATGTGTCCCAGGTGAGGGTCTGTTTGTTACCTGGAAAAAGAGAGATACCTTGTTCACTCTAGTGGACAGGGAGGATATTTAACACCACACCTCATCACTGTGCCTTGGGCCAGGGTGCAAACACCCCAGGGAAAGCAGAGAAATGGTGGGACTGGAACTGCAACCTGCTCAGGTGAGCGGACAGCTCAGCCAGACCAGAGGACACGGGATGCCCTGTGTGCCTCCTGCTGCTCCCAGCACAGCCCCCCTTGCCCATCTCTGCAGGTGTACCCTGCTGATGGATCTGCCAGTGGTTTTTCACCTGTGGGCTGCAGACTTCAAAAGGCTGCAGACTGTTCCTAGGATGTTCAGAGGGTGTGATAATGTAAAGCAAGCAAGGCAGGCAGAAGCAGATCCACTAACAGAGATGTGAGATCCCAGCATTTCAGAGGACTGCATGGAGAACAGCTGCAAACTGCAGGTGCATGTGTGCTTTTGTACATGAACACTTGAACAGCTCCACTGCACATCATCTACCCCAGAATGCCCACCAGCAGAAGCCAGATCAGCTTTCCTGCTGATCTAGGTGGGCATCAGCTGAAGCCCAGGGAGACATTAGACTTACACCAGCAAAAAGTCTGGTATAATCTATTTTCCCTGCGCTGAGATGATGGCAAAGTGTCATTTTTAAGACAACAGCACTAAGCCAGCTGAACTGGCAAGAGTTATGATATTCTGCTGTCTGCAGCCACCTTTTAGGTGGTACAAAATTTTCCAAGAAATGAGAGAGAGAGGGAGGGAGAGAGGGAAAGAAGATGAGCTGAAAAATGCCTCTGGGCTAAGATTTATGGAATATCAATGTGAAATGAACATTTACAGCTATATTACTTACAAAACCCTCGCAGGCAAGATTTATAATGGGAATGCAGATTCATCTTAATGGTATAGTTCCAACTGGGGGAGTTTAATTACTGCTCTGACATCCACTGCTGCATGCCCAGCCATGCCATCCTCACGGCAGCTTTCTTCATCTGTGCACATTACACTTGGTGTGGGAGGCTCCATTTCCCTGAAGCCTTATGGTTAAGGGAGACACTGGCATGATGCCTTGGTAGGCTCCTGGCCCATATCCAGCTGTGGCTGTCTGTCCTTCAGGACTGATCCATTGCTTGGGTTCCTTAAGGTTGTCATTTGTGTACACAGAGTGATGGGGCTGTAAAGTATTTAATTTCTTCTCCCTTCCTGTGTCTCTAGCCAGGGTCTCTGTGGGGTTGTGCTTTCTGCTCAATCCAGCATATCCAGAGCAGGATGCAGCACAGGCTTTGATTGGTGCTTGGAGTTAAGATCCCAAACCTCTGCCAGCTATGGCTCTGCCCCTGTTGGTGATGTATGTGCATACATCCAGCTTTTTTTCCCCCTCTCACTCCATTTTTTTTTAGCTCTCAGTCACTGGGTGGTGCCTGAAACACACACTCAGTAGAGCAGTGTGAACATATGGGGCACCCATTTGCTTATTCATTTCTCCTGTCAGCTGCATACAGAATGGGGGGAAAACTTGTTCCCTCCCTTAGCTGAGCCCTCCTTATCAAGTGAATCAAACCAAGCTCTATCCCTACTAGGGAGCTTTTCTGTTCTAAATTTCTACACCTAGGGTATTTTTTTTTGCCCATGTGGCACTTTCATGTGAATATGTGATCTCTCTTTCCCACATTTTTTAAAAATTGTACCAGCTCTGTGGTACCTTCTGATTGTAATAACTGTGTCAATATATTAGCTCTTTGCTTTCCTCTTAGCAAGAAACAGCTTTGTTCTTTGCAGTATTATCCAGCCCCAGGAAGGCTTTTTGTTCCCAAAGATGCTGAGGTTTCCTCCAAAGGTTCCCCATCCCCTGATCCACACAGATAAGTTGCATGGACCACAGTTGTTCCCCTAACTCACACTGTGGAAGATGGAAGAGGAGTTCCTCTGACTGTGGTGTAAAGCCACCTCTAAATTTACCATTGCACCCCATACTGGGAAATTCACAGCACAGCTAAACTCACACAGGTGGGCAGGAGTTCTGCTCAGCCAGCCACCACCAGGGCATATGGCAGCATCTAAATACCTGAGAAAGGTCTGATTCTTCCAGAAAAGCTGAGATTGGAGAAGCAGCTTTAGAGCCAGCCTTCCTGCTTGGCTTCTTCAGCAGATTCACACATAGAGCTGACAAAACTGTGTTTCTCTGAAGTTAATTCTCTCCAGGCTCCAGCCAGCCTGGAAATGATAGAATTCTCACCTTCCTGTGGTAGGTGGAAATAAGGTGGACTAGCTCAAATTAACACTGCATCTCATTCAGCTCTCTGGCTGCCTGCACCCCCCAGTGCAGTAATGCTGGGTCAGACACGGCTGCTTCACCTCTGCTGGATAATTTCCTGTACTGGGCATCCAGCTGGCACCACATCAGATTTACTTTCTGGTTTCAGAACATCCCATGGATATAGCTCTGAGGAAGCCTGTGTGCCTGACTGTCTGTTTTTATTGTAGGACCTCGGACTGGAAGGAACATTTCTCAATGAAGTGCTCTACAAAAATGCAACTTTCCTCAACTTGGTGGATCCCATCTCCCATGACCTGCTGATGAGCCTTGCCAGAGATCTGCAATGTCCCAAAAAGGTGAATTCTCCCTCAGCTCAGTGAATGCTCTGTGGCACAGCACTGATGCAGAGAGCCCCACTGGGGCAGCTGGTGCTGCAATCAATCCCCCAGCCAGGCAGAGTGTTCCCTGGAAGGGGTGGCATATGGATTGTGGGGCGTATTTCTGTAGAAATCAGTTATAAACTACCTCAGAACATGAATACAGCTGAAAGAGGGGATGGCTATGTGCACAGATACTAGGAAATAACTTTTTGTGTCCACAGGGCAGAGAGACAATCACTGGTATCACAGGGTTTCGAAGCTCATGGGGGGCTCTTGGAGCTTCAGAGGAGAACAGAGATCTCTGCAGGAAAACCACCTCTCTCTTCCTGGGCCCTTTGCCATATGTAACTACATCAACCCAGCATTATTTCCCCCCATAAACTCTCAGAGTTCCCCATAGAGAATGGTGCTGCAGGAATATATTGTCACTGGGGGTTCAGGAAATAAATGTGTTATGTGCACAGTAACTGTGCATGCTCCATCACTTTGCTTCAGAGGATGAGGAGAGCAGAGACAGAAAGGCAGGGCTGCGAACAGACAAACATCACAGATGTCCCAGTCCCACTGCAACAACCAGCATCTATTTCTGTTACCCTTTGCCACCACAGACACTTGGATTTGCAATGTACCCAGTTGCTCGTTAGGCTTGGCAAGCATCATGTTTGCTTTATAAGGAGAAGAATAGAGTGAATTTCTTTATTCAAAGAGAGATATTAAGAACACACAGCTCAGAGCAAGCAGCAGTGCCCCAGGGAATACACCGAATGCCTGGTGTAGATTAGTGGCATTTCTAACCTTGTTCTGCCATCTCCTGAGGCTCACTGATAACAATTAACCAGTCATGTCTCAATAGACAAACCACATTTAGCCAGAGTTTAATCATCATTATTAGGCTGCAGCGCAGCCTGAAAAAAACCAAACCTTTCCAAGTGTAATGTCTGTGTAATTCATGTGAGCATTTGAAGGAAGGGCTGGGTTGTAGCAGTAGCATCTCTTTCACCACACTTCACTTGACCTCATCTCCAGCTGTTCTACCAGACCTTCTCCAAGCCTGTGCTGTGCAGTGCCCCTCAGGGCAGGCAGCAGGAGGGGATCTCGCTCTAATCCAGTACCCATGTGTTTGGCAGATAACACATTACCATTTTTATACACCTGTTTATCCCCCCACTCTAGTTTCATGCCCTATGGATGCACTGACACATGTACCATTACATAAGAAATTGTTTTCCCCATTCCTAAGGAAGACGTTGAGCACCTGAGTTGCCCTTCAAAGCCAGCAGAGGTTTAATTAAATGCTTGTAGAAATTCAGTACCTACAGCACCAGCACCCTTCCCAGAACAATGCCAGACCACGTCCCCTCTTCGACCCTGGCTGAGCATCTGGTGGGTGTAACTGCATTACAGGCAAGCAGGCTGAGTGCAGTTCCCAGTCTGTCAGTGGAAATTAAATCAGTGAGGACACAGGAAAGAACAGGAGGGTAACTCTCAGCTGTGAGCCAACAATTGCTCGCAGGGCTGTGTGCCAGCTCTGTACTGGAGCCTGGTGTGCACGTGCACCCACTTGGAGAGGTTTGCTGTTGTAGGTGACAGCAGAGTGCCAGCTGCAGCCCTGCCAGCACAGCAGGAGTCTAGAACAAGGCACCTAAGCCAAAGGCATGGGCCAGTCTCTATGGGGTTCCTAGGGAAGCTGGGATGGGGATCAGGGGATGCTCAGCTGAGCAGAAGGCTGGGATCCCTCTCCCCTTGGCACAGGAGAATTGCCACATGCTGGCAGTGCATCCCTGGGGAATTCAGCTGGTTCAGGGACTGCTGAGCAAAGTCACAGAGCAGCTGTTGGCCCCCAGTGCAGTGCTTTAACTGCTCACAGTAAGGAATAAATCAGTGCATTCCCTGACAGCTTTACTGGGTGTTCACCTATCAAATTCCTAAATGCACATGTGGCACCATGGCTAGAGGGCTGAGGGGTGGGAATGCAGGTGTCTGTCAGCAACTGGAAAATGCAATAGAGAAGGCAGAAGTCCCAGCCTTTAGCAGCTGCCATTTGCCATTCTGCTTCAGCAGAGGAAGAGGTTCTGTTCCAAGTCATGGCACTAAAGAACATGTGCAAAAATAACCCAGGAAGGCAGCAACCATGTGGGTGCCTTCTTTTCCTGACAAGTTAGGGCAGGGGCAGGAGGGAACTGCTGGCATTGGAAGCTCCCAAACTCAAACGTCCAGTAGCAGAGTGGACTACAAGGAAGTAAGATGGACTATGGGGAAGTAGCCAAAGTTCCCTGTCCTGACATCTCCCAGCACAAGAGGTCATGGAGTCAGTGTGTCACTGCAGGAGGAGCAAGAAGCACCTTGGGGATGGGGCGAGGGTGCCACTTACTGCCCTTTCCACATCAGGGTGTCAGATAGTCCAGAGACAGAGTCTGGGGAAGCAGGGCAGCAAGGTAATTAATAGAAATGTAGCACAGTCCTGTAACACAAGGAGTTGGCAGTGTAGGGATCCCTGCAACAGAGCATTGTCAGTCACCCCTGCCGCAGCCCTAGAAAAGGATCGCCTCTTCAGAGTTTCACTTGTTCCTGGGTAGGCTGTGAAATTGTAGCCCCACTCTGGGTAGGAACATGCTGGTTGGGCTGGGGTTCTTCCTGGCAGTGCAGAACTCCTCCTGATCCTCCTCCACCCCAGGAGGAGTTGGCATGTAGCAGAGGCATCTCAGGCCTTCTCACCATTCCTTTCATTCTCTCTTCTCTTCATCTGCTCCCTTACATACATGACCCTGCTCCACTGCCATCTTTATTCCTTTCCCATCTTCCTCTGCCCTCCTCCTTTTCTCATGTTCTGCAGTGGTGCAGGCAGTCTAAGTCATCCCTTTGCTTTCAGGAATATGACCCCTGGAAATCCTCAGACAGGATCTGCAGGCAGCTGATTTACCACCTAACCCCGCACTCGAAATGGCACCGGCACGGGATGCCCCGCAGGAAGTCCCAAGTGTGGTAAGAACCTGGCAGGGGTTGTGTGGGTGGGCACAGAGGGGGATGAGCCTGGGAAAACGGTGCTGCAGCCAAGCACCGTCCCAGCCTGCCACCACTCCCCTCCTCAGAGAGACTCCCCTCCTTTCAGAGGACTGAAAAACGTGCACAGCAGCTGCAGTACAGCCTCTTCCAAAACCCAGCCCCAACAGGCCTCTCTGTGATGTGTTTTGCCATTTGCTCCTTTCTGTGTGGTGTTACAGTTCCTCACCCTCTCCAAAATGAGTGCACAGCACAGACATCCCTCCTTCAGGGTCAGGAGCATGGCCAGGGCTGCTAGCCTGCAAAAACACCCATGTGCCAGAGGGGGCTGTTCCCAGCTCTGCATCATACCTTGTCCTAGTTTAAAGCTTCCCTGACAGTGGGCAAAGTGTCCCGTACAAGCCACTGCCACCATCAGCTGATCACCCCATTCAGCAGGAACCACTCTGGGGTGGCTGCAGGGAGGTGAGCATCCTTCTTACCTCCCACTTCTCTGCCAGCACCTGGAGAGGGCCCTGGGATGGTGCAGATGCACAGAGAACCCAACTCAGAGCATGTTGGTCACTAACAGCTCCTGGATGGCAACTGCTTTTCACTATTAGAAGTGTATTTGGACAGCCACACTTGTTCCCTCCTTGCCACTTGCTGGTTTTTCTGCCCGGATAAAGAGCAATCCCCATGTACTTTAAATCCACCCCTCCTTCTGTCATTTTCTTGGAGCAAACCCTGTTCCTATGACACAGATCACCACTGCTGAAGGAAAGACAGAGAAGTGACTAAGAAAAGAGCTCATGTCAGCCCCATTAGATTCACTGGAATAAATGCAGGATAGAATAAAAAGAAATGCAAAATCAGCAGCACTCTGAGAATGGCCTTGGGCTTTTCTGATGCTTTTGGTCTTTGATGTTTGTGCCAGCAACTTAAAATCCCCCATGAGAATTGACATTTCCATCATACCTTTCATTCTGACTCAGAGGCAGGTTCCCAGTGCATCTTAAGGAATAAAATCCCTAATGCCATGATTTCCAGGCCATCTGCCTCTTGCACCTGTAGCCCCACTTTGCCAGAAGCTGAGCACTCCCAGAGCTCTCCCCTCCAGCACCCCAAAGGCAGCACTGTTTGTGCTGCTTTGCAGGTGGCAACCACAGCACAGAGCAAGACTGAGCTTTCAGAGCTGAGTGAATCCTTTTCCAGGCCCACCTAATGATATTTTCCCTATAGGATCTTGCAGAATGCTGGACATGCAGGATATAGATGGCAGTTCTGACCTCATCCCTGTCTCCTCCCAAATTTAAAGTGAAGTAGTTCAGGAATCCAAACTCCTGCTTGCAGGCAAACCTCTTCTCCAGATGGACTTCAGGATGAAGAGTCAAACTGGAAGTGATCCCTGTGATTGCACAGCCTGGGGACAGCAGAGGACTGCAAAGTGCTGCAAGCCCATCACTTAGTAACAACAGAGGGAAGGTTTGTGGCCAGAGGTAGAGCTCTGGGTCCAGTGAGCACCCCACACAGAGGGGCCAGACCCCAGGTATTGGCCAGGTACAGAAAATCTGTGAGCACAAGCAGGGAGAGGGCAACAAGGCAATGTGCAATAGGTCTAAAATGGGCTGGCCTGCCTGGCTACCACACCCAGTTACAATGTGTTACGTAAGGCACAAATTAATTTTGATGAAATATTTAACAGCAGAGCTTTCTCTTTTAAGTGTGGAGATGAAATGGTTTGCAGTTTGCAGCAAAAGACGCCTGCAGAATTGGCATCTGAGGCCGCTGCAAGAAAATGGGTGTTGCCAGTAGCAGGAAGGCAAGAAATAGCTGCTTCATTTGGAGATACCAAGGCATCAGTTTGTTTAGGCAGGCTGTTTTTTCGTGATCCAAATTCTGCACCTCCCTCTGTCTGCTAGTGGGAGTATTTTACTATAGTGTCTGTCTTAAACCCTGTGCCCTTGGCTTGCACCCTTCCTGCTCTTTAGCTCCTGCAAAGAGCATGGGTGTAGCAGCAATACTTTGAAGGAATTTCTAAAATCTAGTGGGGGTTAAGGACAGCAGGGAGGAATCTGTGATGAGACCACATTCAGAAACCAAATTCTGCTCTTGCTTTTGCAGCCTCCTGGGCTTTGGCATCTGGCTTTCACAGAACTGATGCCGGACTCCCTTGTTCTCTGAAATGCAATTTCTACTTTCTGCAGCATGTTAGATGGGTCCAGCAGATAATTAGCAAGCCCAGCCATACAGGGAGCTTGGAGCATCTGCCAGGTTTTAATTACATTTGGGCTGTTATGGAGATGTGGTACTGCAATAGTGGAGTTGGATCACGCACCAGATGTTCGTCCCCACTGCCAAACCAGTGGGTCACAAACAAACTAACAGCAGTTATTACATCCCCAGCTACTCTCAGTGGGACCTGCATCCACCAGGTACACACCTGAGCCACCCATGAGCTGGTAAAGCAAAAAGGATAAGAGACATTTCTTCAGGCAGTGCTGTTTCAGTCCACAGGCAGAGCCCATGCAGAAAGCTCATTGTGGGTCATGGACTCAATGCAACAGCAGCTGGAGGGAGCGGGAGACATCCAGCCCAGGCTCTGTCTGGTTTCTGTGCTTGACCAAAGTGCTGAAGGTGAAGCTGGGAGGCAACCTGCCCTCTGCATCCATGCCTGTGGGTTCCCTGGAGTGGCTGTATGCCTTACACAAGGAAGGGTTGCAGTCCCCAGCTGTGCAGTCACCCACAGAGACTATTTCAGCTGCCCTGGTGATACTCAGACTAAGTTTGCCCCACTGAAAAGAAGGGGCTCCTTTCCTGCAAAATCCTGTCTCAGGTTTGCAGCCAACAGCCTGCACCCCACTGGCTCTGCCCTACTTGGGTTGACTGCATAACCAAACTAGGAAGATAAGCTCTTGCAGATTTACTCTGGGGGTTTTAAAATTGAAAGCTCAAAAGCTGGAGGATAAGATTTCTGCAGCTTTTTTTTTTTTTTTTGCAGCAAGGACGAGCATAACTACTACACAATTTTCAGTCCTTGATATCCTAGAGGGAATTTAGTTTTAGCACCATTTTACAGTTGTATAGATCACTCCCACTTAATGAGCAGAATACATCCTGGAGTGTTGTATAACTCCAGCTTCACTTTCTCATTAAATTGATGTTTAGTGTGTAAAGAGTAATGGATTAAAAAATGCTCCTTTATACAGACATAGACCTTTTAGGCTATCAGTGCCACTTCTGTGGCATTTTGACAGACTCAGAACTTTTAGATGCTATTAATTCTTGTTTTCAGAATTCTTGGGGCCTCTTGCCATGCTGAATTCATGAAAACTGTCACCATCTGCTGCCAGAACAGGGCAGGACCCAGAGGATGTATTATTTTCTGAGGGCCAGACACACTGGGCTGCAGTTCAGAGCAGAGAGGGAGAAGGGTATCAGGTGAAGACTGCCTTTGTCTGGAGAGCTGGATCACAGTCTGGTACTGTGATTAGGAAGCTCTGGATTACAACTGAACTGTCTTGGCAAGGCCGTGTAGGGAACCTTAATGTATCTTCCACTTGCATCATCCCCAGAGCTGGCTACTTCAGTGTAACTACTTCCTTTCCTGAGTGCAAAGGATCAAACCTGAATCCACGTAGCAGGCAGGCAGTAGACACAGCTTTATAATTGTGACAAAAAAAAAAAAAAAAAACCAAAACAAATTTTTCACACAGTGGCCTGCTCTGGAAGAGCAACAGCAGTTGTGTGTATGGAATTAACTCCCAAACCACATGTATATGGCCTTTCCTTTTCACAAATCTCACCACAGCTTTACTTTGCTCATCTGAGTGAATTTCATCATGGCTAATCCAAAGTGGGTGGAGAGCAGAGTTTCCCTTCTGGGCTTATTGCTCCCTTTCTGTTATTGATGTGCATTGGCCAGACATTGCAGCATTAGATGCACTTTTAAAATGCAGTGAAAGCAATTGTGTCTAGAGGACTTCAAGGAAACAGCTCTAAAGGGCTTCACATCTTTTTTTTCCCCTTGAAAACATCACTCAGCACTGAGGCTGACAGTTCTGGCAGATGAGATCCCAGCCTTCACATGGCATGAGGAGAATATTAACTAGAGCTTCGTGTCACCCTTATGCAACAGGCAAACAGGCACCATCATTCCTGCTCTAGGGAGAGGAAGCCAAGTCAGTTAACTAAAGCCACATGGTAAACATCATATGGGAGTACAGGAACTGCCCCACACACTGTTTCCAAGAAGCTGCTGCTCACAGAGATGTCAGATGGACAGACATGAGCTGGTGGATGAGTTGTGGACAGGGGCAGGAATTGTGCCCTCATCTTACAGTGCAGAGCATCCCAAACACTACCCCTGAGGAGGGTTCCCAACAGCATCAAGAGCCCATACATTTGGAAAGGCTGTTGGAGGTGGCAGAAAGGGTCACCCAGCAGCTTGACACTGCCCTGTCAGAGTCAGGAGTAAAAAGGCCAAGGCTGGCAGACAAGAGAAGCAGGACACTGGAGGAGAGACAGTGAGTGAAATAACAGAGGCTGGGTGGAAGGGGGTAGTTAAAAGCAATCAGCAGAGACCTTGTGCCTTGTGACTCTTACCCAGTTGAAGGTCTGACAAGGACATGGGTCAATACATGATATTTACACCTTGAAGGACAGAGTGACAGCAGAGGCAGGAAGAGAGAGGCACTCAGCTGCATCAACAACTGCTGATTTCCATGTCCCACCCCAGCTGCAGAGGGAGTGAGACAGGAGAAAGGCTACCTTTGCCTCCTCTCCACAGCTGGTCAAAAGAGCTTGGGCACGAGGATGGGGATGTGACTAAGGGAGTTCTCAAGGAAGTGACCTATTTGTGCACTGCCTCCATCTTCACAGCAGGGCCAGGCCCAGCCTTGGATCAGCTGGGGCTGGGTTAGTCTAGCTCAGTACTTTGGAGGCTTCTCTTTCCTTTTTCATGTTGCATTAGAGGCAGCTAAAGCCAGCCCTGCACAGCAGCA